TCCTCCATTTTCAATTTTGTTTAGAGAAAGACGATAGATTGCATTCATGATTCAGACCGAAAGATGATCAATCCATCTAATTAGATATCTAATAATTCCTTCATTCCTGTGTAATTAATTACCTTATTAGTTCCTCCAACAGTAAAGGTAAAATTGACCATCAAACTATATTGAACGCGGCTCTAGATTTGAAACATAACTACCACCCATTTGAATTCGAGAAACTTGAAGTAATTGAAGCAATCGATGGTCCAAAATTAAAATCCGACAAAAACAAAAACAATGAATTTGAAAGAGGAACACCAGTAGTGAGGCGTGGACTATATATAGGAAAGGACATAAAATATAAGGCATACATGTACGAACACATAAAATATTGAGGATCTGACGTGGATACGAAGCATGCAACGAATGAGGTCCAAAAGGACAAAATTATGCAGAATTTAACTGGGGAGCACAAACCATTATTTGACCCTCGAACCAGCTTCCCTCGTCACCTCTACCCACACACAAGGGTGGTTGCCTGTTTTGCATGGTAGGGCTGTATTGACTTAGAGAGAGAGAGAGAGAGAGAGAGAGAGAGAGAGAGAGAGGTCCTACAATTCTAGGTCACTCGTGCTTAACACTTCAATAATATAAGGATATATTAAGGGGCATTGAGGGAATTCGATAGGAAACACCCCTAAGTTTGGATCGTTGAGAAAAAAACTTAATGAAATATTAATATATAGTATCTTATTATACCCTACTAATAAAATTATTTATTTTTTACATCTTCATTCAAAGATCATTCTTGCAAAAAATCATGCAAATTGAAAATCATTAAGACATCTAATTGAGGCAAAAAAAATCAATAAACACGGTACTTCAAGAAAGTACTTAAATTTCAATAATTTAATTGAATGATCAAATGATATCGAATTCAAGTGATTTTTTTTATATAGATGATCTTTGAATGAATATCTACAAAATAGACAGTTTGGATTAATGAAATACAAGGCAAAGTGAATCCTACAAGAGTGTATCTCAAATAAACTTATTTGAGGAATCCCTCAATAGAAGCTTTATATAGATATATATATATATATTTAATCTGTAACCAAACTTGGTTTTTTGTTAGCTAGGGTTCACCTAATCTAACAACTAATAAATCCAACAAGAAATTAAAATTGCTAATTACAAGGAAAACAGTATCAATATCTGCCTCCTCCTGGCAGTGGCCAGCAGGGCCTAACTTATATATAAGATGGGAGTTAGTTGGACTAAATTACAAACCCTAGCTAGCCATCGACTGCGGAAACTTCCTCATATAATAAGAATATATGCACGCCCACGTTTAGAAAAACTTATCATAATTAAAAAAAAAAATTAGAGACACTAATTTAAGTACACAGTTTGAGCTTATCATAATTATAAAAATAAAATAAAATTACGTACAATCATTAATCTAAAGCACAAGTTTGAGCTTAACAGCTGTATGCATGGATAAGTTTGTCACTAAGGAGTGTCATTATGACATTTTCTGTGTTTTATTTATTTATAATTATTCTTTGTGGGTTAGAGGAGAACAAGATTAATTGGTGCCCTAATTAAACCATTAATTAATTAATTAATTACGTACTTAATCTACAGTGCCATTTGCTGCCACATGCGGGCATTGGCTTTATCACATATGAATTACATCATATAGATTATGATCGGACGTCACAAAGAAAATGGGGCAATGACTCAGCCAGAAAATATAACCCACAACAAAATGTCAACAATCGATCACGACTGGCTGCCAGGTCTCCATGCAAAGGGTTTTACTAGCACACCTACATACATATTTAATTCAGATGAATCTAGATAGTCTACGTTTTGTGCAGGGGAAGAATTCAGATCGAGAATTATTATTAATTATTGGGTTGAGTTTTTCTGCTGTAATTGATTAATTTCAGAGAAGAATCGGTCGCGCTTCTGTACATGTGTGAGTATAGTAGTATTATTTTGTTCACTTGAAGTTGAAAAAAGTAAACCTAATAGCTAATAAACACACTAAAAAAATGGTAATGTCTCAAAAGACCCACTAGTGTAGTGGTTTGGAACAATTGTTTTCCTAAAAGAAGTCATGGATTCGAGTCCTAAAAGCACCTCCACCCCAAAGGGCAAGGGTAAGGCAAAGGCAAGGCAAGATTTGACACTATTCACATGAATAGTGGTAGCTTTGCCGTTTTTGGTTCCACCTCAAAGGGCAAAGGCAAAGACAATTACTATTCACATGAGATATGAGGAATTTGTATAGAGTTTTTGGTGTGGGAAATAAAGAATATGGCTAGGTATTTATAAAATAAAATAAAAATTCTGGATTTTTTTTGTATTTTTTTCAATATTTGTTCCAATTTTTTTGGTTGTTAATGTCATTATGACGTCAGCATTGCATCATTCTGCCCAGGCAGCAACTTGGGCTGAATTTACCCATAGGCTTGCTTGGGCTCGTGGGACCCAGCTCTTGCCAGGACTGAACCTTGCGCGCTGGAGGGGGTTTTGGAGCCTGGGGTTGCCTTTTGCTTGGGCTAAATCCAAGCACTGGAGGTGCTCTAACACCCGTGTTGAGTGCGTGAGTTTAGTGTATTATCGCCCTTTGTGATCAACACTTCATACACATTATACCACCCATTGGCTTCAAATGCACAAAATCAATAATTCTATTTGTCTCTTGGCCTGTGAAGGGCAATAAGCCTCTCTTTGAGGTATAATAATATATTTTTTTGGTACATAGGGATATGACCAAAATTGTTATTTGATTCGTGATCTATCACCTAATTTGACTCATCCATCTTGACTAGCTAGCCTTTTGCTATCTAGGCGGGCTAAGGGCTTGAGATATCTTCATGTATGAAATATCTTTTTGAATAAAGATATGATATTTACAAACTACGATTTACTTTTATGACGGGCCAATATAATCACAACAAAGCACCAAGGGTTTGCCACCCACAATTAAGTATGTCGAATTTACTACAATTGTATATCATCATCATCATCCATGTGAACTTGAAACTTCATCCAACCAAGTTGAAGCAAATACCACAAGACTAAAGGCTAGTTGGTCATGAAATCTTATTTCCTTTTTGTTTTTAAGTTGTACTTTTTTTTTATACAATCGATAAGGGAAAAGGGGAATTGAACCTAGAACCTCATGTGCAGCCACTTTTGAATTATTTGGAAATTGATAAAGACTTTTAACTTTATACACACACACACACACACACACACACACACACACATATATATAGAGCTTCTATTGAGGGATCTCTCAAATAAGCTTATTTGAGGGACACTCCTTGTAGGCCCCAATCCGGATTGTATATTACTAATTTAAACTATCTATTTTGTAGATACTCATTCAAAGATCATCTCTACAAAAAATCACTTGAATCCGATATCATTTGACCACTCAATTGAGTTATTGAAATTTTAGTAATTTTTTGAAGCACCGTGTTCATTGATTTTGTAAGACACAATTAGATGTCGAAACGGCTTCCAATTTGTGTAATTTTTTGTAAGGATGATCTATGAATAAAAACTTAAAAAATAGATAGTTTGGATTATTGAAGAAAAAAAAATTGTATGGTACCCTAAAGGGCGTCCTTCAAATAAAATTATTTGAAAAATCCTTCAATATATATATTGGAAGTTTCCCAATATATATATAAAAGATATAAAGATCCAGCTATCCTGAAAGCTAGATCCATAATCTATGAATAAATTGAACTAAAAAAATTCTATGATAAAGGGAAGCCTATTAGTATTAAGGAAAAAAGAAGACCTAGATATTTGGTTGGACCGACATATATATGGTGACAAGCAGAAAGTCGTTTAACGTTCATTAGACGTCGGATAGTGCTAACCAATAATAACAAGGTTGTGTGGACTCAACGAAAGTAGTGACAAAAAAGCAAGATAAAGCTTTGCAACTTGCCAATCCTTTGCGAGTGATTTACAACCATTGCCTCTCAAGAAAATCGTCGTTTTTCCTTTGGATTCTTCGACAGATGTTTGTACGTATATTCACCTGCTTTCTAACTCTTATAACAACGGATTACTATATATAATTCATACATATTCCTTTGGATTCTTCGAAAATTACGTAATTTGTAAATATATTTAAAAATTTACATAAACATGTGAGTATCTAATACGCAAAACCATATATATGTACATTTTGCTATTGTTTCAATTAGCGTGTTCGAATGAAGAATGCACATTATAGACCACGTCGCTAAATAGAAATAAACGAATGTGGTTACTAGTAAATGTAGTAGTTTTATTAATTTTCTATTTCTTACGGTTGAAAAAGAAGAAGAAGAAGAATCGACCAATGCCTAACTTGATTTTACTTCAAATCATCCTACAAAATGGCATCATTCATAGAATGAGTCCTAAATGAAAAGTTGAGGTATAAACACAAGAAAAAATTACGGCAAGACACCTCATGGATATATAGATGGAGATTGTGGTGCAAAACCATGTGTTGAATTTTGAGTTTGACCATGATTATGGAAATTCATACTAATATATAACTTATTAACCCCAAAAAAAAAAAAAAAGCCTAATTAAAGAAATGAACCCTGTTTCATACCAAAATAAGTAAACCAATAAATAAAATCAATTAAATGTATTAAAATAAAATCAATAAATAAATAAAAGACCATTATGACCCAAAGATGGAAAGGGACCCTAGCGAGCTGCTTAATAATTAATCTATATGTGATGAGCTCCATGCCAAAGTCAGCCGTGGTATCCTGCCGTTTTAAATACTTTGAAGGAAAGAGAGATGATGAACAGTAGGAAGGCTCTAGGAAAAAGAGGACAAAGCTGCCCCTATACCTCTTGTCCCTACCTCGTGTGTTCTGACTCAAATTTTTTTTTTTCTTTGTCAACGGTTTCATTGTATCCATGGAACCAGTCCTCCGGATTCGAAAAAACCGAAACCGGTTTCTCAAAAACTTGCTCCTGTACATGTCAAGTCCTTTCCCGTTTTTCCTCTATATATCCCTCCAAAACTTTCCCGTTATCCACCATCTCCATTTCCTCCTTGTTTATTCCCACTATACTTTCCTTTTATTATCTTTCTCTTTTTCGGAAAAAGATAGGTGTGAGGTAGTTATATACGAATGTCCTAACTGTTTATTTTCAATTTTCCTTTCGCAAACACAGTACATCCCACGTCTACACAGATAAAAAGTTTGTCTACCTATGTGGGATGGGATGTATGTATACGCGTTCCTTTCACAATCATGTGGTTGTGTTGCGGCCGTATACAAGTTTGTGATACAAGAAATTTAACATAATTTTCCTTAATCATGCTTGCAGCCTTTCAGGATTAGCTTTTGGAATACTCCATGTCTCCAACAATGGCAGTGCTGACAACTGAGAATGGGGAAAGTCAGTACCAGAATGGAGTGAAGCGGTTGTACGAGAGTGGAATAAGCAAAGTTCCAAGCAAGTACGTATTGCCCATTTTGGATCGACCCAATACAAGTGACCAGAAACCAAATGTGTCCAGCCAAAATCTCAAGCTCCCCGTCATTGATTTCAAGGAATTGCAGGGTCCAAATAGAGCCCAAGTCCTCAAGTCCCTGGCTAATGCTTGTGAGCAATATGGCTTCTTTCAGGTAGGTCTTAATTAGTAACTTTTAATTAGGCACATATTGAGCTTGTAAATGAGTTTAACATCTTAAACCATCAAAGTAATTGGTGATTTGTGGGTTCATGCAGTTGGTAAACCATGGCATTCCAAGTGATGTTATAAGCAGCATGATCGACGTGAGCACAAGGTTCTTCGAGCTCCCTTTTGAGGAGAGGGCCAAGTACATGTCCTCGGATATGCATGCTCCTGTTCGATATGGAACTAGCTTTAACCAGAACAAAGATAAGGTGTTTTGCTGGAGAGACTTCTTGAAGCTAATGTGCCATCCTTTACCAGATGTCCTTCCTCATTGGCCTTCTTCACCGGTGGATATGAGGTGAGAGCTAGCTCAACCTAAAGCATGGTTTTTTGGGGTACAATGGGATATGGTCGAAGTCACGTGACCTATTATAATTTTAACTTTTTGCTTCACTCTTATCACTTTTATTTTAACAAATCTTGTATATGTGTTATATTTACAGACTACATTCATCACATTTCTAAAATGATGAATCCAATTTGCATATGTGAGTCTCACATGTACTACGAGTCTACTAGAAATTGGTCAATTAGCGCCATCCAAATAGTTGTATTGGTAGATTATTTAACTCTTCTCTCCTCCTATGTGGGTAAGTGTGCGCTTAAAGTATTTGTTAAGATATATTATAACCTCCTAGAATTAGGAGCTGTCCTTGCTCGTGAGAGGCCACATCTAATCGCTAGCTCCTTATACCCTAGTTAAGCAATTAGTTTAATTCTTAATGAACCAATAATTACAATTCTAAAATAATAAATTTGAATCATCTTCTAGCTCTATTCACCTATACATATTGTTGTGAGATTAAATATATTGATTGGTTTCTACTCCATAGGAAATTGGCGGCTACCTACGCACAAGAAACCAAATACTTATTCCTAATGCTAATGGAAGCCATCTTTGAGAGCTTGCGACTTGTGGGAACCACAGAGAACAACACGACAGAAGAAGATGAGATGTTAAAAGAATTCCAAGATGGGAGCCAGCTAATGGTTGTCAATTGCTACCCGCCATGCCCCCAACCGGATCTAACCCTAGGGATGCCTCCCCACTCTGATTATGGCTTCCTCACACTTCTTCTCCAAGATGAAGTTGAAGGACTTCAAATCCAAAAACAAGATCAATGGGTCACCGTTGAACCAATCCCCAATTCTTTTGTGGTCAACGTTGGTGATCACCTTGAGGTGAGTTTAATAATTATTGGGTCAGTGTTTGTTTGGTCACTTAAAAGTTATGTGCTACATGCATTGGATCACATGTAAATTACATTGACGAATTGGTTATTATATAATTCATTAGCTAGCCTTATCTCTATTAGAGACGTAATCAACATATGAATGTAGAATACATGTGAGTTTCACCTTCGTGAGTTCTGTAATTAATGTAATCATCAAATGTGACATGTAGCACAACTCTAATTTATTGTATTCTTTTAACGTATATGCTAATATACCGTATCGTTGATGACGTGGTTTTTGTTGTGACAGATATTTAGCAATGGAAAATACAAGAGTGTTCTACATAGAGTCTTGGTGAATTCTACAAAAGGTCGAATTTCAGTGGCCTCTTTGCATACTTTACCTTTCATGCGATCAGTTGGACCGTCGCCGAAACTTGTCAATGAATCAAATCCAAGGCTTTACAAGGACACTGATTTTGCCAGCTTCTTAGAGTATATTTCATCTCGTGAGCCAAAGAGGAAGAATTTCCTTGAGTCTAGGAAATTATTTACTTAATTTAAAATAAAAAAAATGCATGGCGCTGCCAACAACTGGTGGAAAATCTGCCTCGTTCGTTGACTTTTAGCAGTTCGAATTATATATGTAGCAATGAGTATTTGGAAATTAATTTTCTCATATATATACTTTTCTTTTTCTTTTTTGTATTTTTAACGTAGTTTTTACAAATTATGGGTTTTTTTTAACTCTCATTGTCACAGGGTAATGAAGCATTTGAACCTTTAATAAAAGCGCTTATGATCACAAATACTTCCACATAAACATTCCTAAACATACCCTTAAACTCAATTGTTTCTTTCATATCCATTTGAAAGCACTCCTGAAAAAAGGGACTAGTCCAAACAAGCCCTTGTATTAATTCATCTCTTGAAGTTACAGCAAAATCTGAACTCACATCACTGTTGCATGCTTGCGTATGCATTGACAAGGTCAAGCTTATATATACGTTGACAAAGCTTTCTAAATGATTTTTTTGGTTTGGTCAGCATCTTTTTTAAAAGCACTTAATTAGGGAGCGACTTTCTTAAACATCATTTGAAAAATACAATGCAATTACAAAGGTTCATGCATATATATCGTACGAAATCATATGAAGGAAGTCGTTGAGAGTAGAAAAAGACAGCTACCGCTTTACTAGGCGAACTCATTGAATAGCTTCAGGCTCCTAGAGTCCTTGGGCTGTCCACTGGTAGAAGATGCTCCATGTTTTTTTTTTTTTGGTTTCTTTTCAAAATTTAAAGATAGATGAAAAATAAACAATAAAAATATTTGCAGTCTTGGGATGAATTTGAGTGAAAAATGACTTGAAAGTGGGTTTAACCAATGCAGACTCAGGAATTTTTATAGGGCTAGGCTAAATTTTTATTTTTATTTTTTATAGGAGATATATTATAAGTGTTTTTTCTCTTGAAACAAAAATGTGAATAAAATTTTATAAATCAAATAAGGCCACATTACGAGCAAATATAACACAAAGACGTACAAAATATAAATATATACCAAATCAAATACATTGTTCAACTACTTGAGATCCGAGTTGAGAAAGTTCCTCAGAAATTGAAGTATCAACATTATATGCAGAAGGTGTATGTGTATCCTTATTATCGTTACCTTTTTTCAGACATGATGATCCTAACAAGAAATACTAGACACCAAAAATCATATATACTAAATAATAATTTAAGTTGCAAAAATAAAACATATATAACAATCCCCAAAAGTTTTCACCCAAACCCTAAATCATAAAAATTTAACGATGACAATTCAAATTGGAAATTGAATATAAACAATTCAGAGCTATTTATTCCAGGCTATGAAGGTTCAAATATGGTGGTTTGGGTGGCTAGAAGAAAAATTCTGATGTTTGCTTCTAATCAAATTTATACAGGCTATGAATTGCATATTTACTATTTCCTATATGCTTCAAGAGTGGGCTTATTTCTATATAGAGAGCTGAACTTATTTGCTTTACCTATATTTGGCTTAAACCACTAAAACTACACACACACACACACAAAAATCAGCACTGGGTTGGAGCAAATGTAGATCCGTCCTTATGCCACCCCTCTAGTTATGGGGCCTACTGGAAAAATACCCAAGCTAGAAGAATCAACTTTAGTCATTTTCTCTTAATTTAATTTATAATAATCTCTATTTACGTTTCCCAAAATATTGCACCACTTGTTGGCAAGAGCGCTACTACTAGGATAATGTTGTTTATAAATCTTAAGTAAACTTGCACGACTATAAAATGATAATGCAAATCCAATATTTTTACCATTTATATTAATATATATATATTATATATGATATATAATATTATAATATATTAGATTATTTTTAGGATATTTACTCTAAAATAAATCGACCAAAGCAGCATGCTAACTCTCTCCTTTTTTTTTCCCTCTTTTTTTATCCTTTTCTTAGTGATTAAGCTCAATTACCGTATAAAGTCATCATATCACTCTTTTTAGGATTATATTTTCCGCAACTTGCATTGGTTTACTTTTCAAATGTAACATAGTCATGTGAAATGAAATACAACAATTTTATTATTGAAAGCTAAAACGAATACATAGGGCTCGTAAATAAAAACAAAAACAAAAAACTATTAATCGATATTTATTTATTTGATCGTAAATAACTAAATTTCATTAACCGGAAGCATTGGTTACAATAAGGTCATCAAGAATACAATTCATTAGCCACACAGAGTCTTCTTCTAACCAATAACAAGGACCTTGTTCGTGTAAAGCAAAACAAGCAATAGCACGAACCACTTTGTTACACTCCCTAAGTCGAAATTGGACTTCCTTTAAAGAAAACCGCATGAGGAAGTCTCTCACATCATCCACAATGTTGCTGACAATAGCCCAAATAGTTTCCCCTGAATTAATCATCATAACAGCCTCAGAAGTGTCAGATTCTATGAGGAAAGGGAAAAAAACCAGCAGCTGTAGCAAATAAAATTCCTCTATAGATAAATTGCAATTTTGTAGCTAAAACGGAAACCCCGTGAGGGCTTTGCATGGACTAGGGCATCCATAAAAACTCCAGAATCATTACGAACAACTACACTTATACTACGCAAGCCTGTTGCATTGTCAATAGCTCCATCAACATTGAGCTTAGATTAACCCTACAAGCACGGACAACGCCTCTGTTGATATATTTCTTATTTATAATATTATGAAGCGAAAGCCCATAAATATATGAAGCCAAATTATCAACCTAATATAAAGCCAACATTGCAATCACCATTCTAATTTCTAAATTGCTGACATGAGCATCTACAACAGTATTTTCAAAGGCTTTTAAATAATATATATTTAGTTATATACTCATTCTTAACATTAATGATATAGATAAATCATACACCATTCAACATTCATATAAAGTAACAAACTAATAATCTAATTATATTAAAAGTTAATGTGTGTGATAAAGCATAATAACAAATGGTGATAAAAAATAAACAATAAAAATATTTGCAGTCTTGGGATGAATTTGAGTGAAAAATGACTTGAAAGTGGGTTTAACCAATGCAGACTCAGGAATTTTTATAGGGCTAGGCTAAATTTTTATTTTTATTTTTTATAGGAGATATATTATAAGTGTTTTTTCTCTTGAAACAAAAATGTGAATAAAATTTTATAAATCAAATAAGGCCACATTACGAGCAAATATAACACAAAGACGTACAAAATATAAATATATACCAAATCAAATACATTGTTCAACTACTTGAGATCCGAGTTGAGAAAGTTCCTTAGAAATTGAAGTATCAACATTATATGCAAAAGGTGTATCCTTGTTATAGCGTTACCACTTTTTTTCAAGAATGAATGATTTTTTCCTCTCTTTGCCGGACTATTATTATCATATGACATGATATCCTAACAAGAAATACTAGACACTAAAAATCATATATGCTAATAAATAACTCAAATTGCAAAAATAAAACTTATATCAACAATCCCCAAAGCCAAACCCTAAAAAGTTAACAACAACAATTAAAATTGGAAATTGATTTTTTTTTTTTAAAAAAAAAAAGAGAAAAACTTACCAAGATTGAAGAAGCCACTGAAGATAGGTTGGTACAAATTTTTTAGAGGGGAAGAGCTATTTCTTCTAGGCTCTCAAAGTTCAAATATGGCGTTTTCAATGGCTAGAAGAAAAATTCTGATGTTTGCTTCTAATCAAATATTATGGATTGCATGTTTACTATTTCCTACATGCTTCAAGAGTGGGCTTATTTCTACATAGAGAGATGGGTTTATTTTAAATAAAGGACTAGGCTATTATTTACTTCACTTAAATTTAGCTTATACCATTAAACCTAAAAAAAAAAAAAAAATCAGCACTGAGCTGGAGCTCACTCCAGCCCAAGTGTAGATCCACCTATGAGTTTAATTTGTATCTAGATGTTCTAGTTCGTTTTGGATGTTCATGATAATTTTTTAATTCTCATATGATTAGGAATGGGTCGGGAAATTATGTAGCTTCTTTTTTCATCGAGAGGAAGATGAAGATTTCAAACTTATGATACTTTAACCTAATATTTGAAAGAAAAATATCATTAGAGACCAATAGATGTTTATGAGAAATCATGTGGTTAATTGCATTTTTAAACAATTCCAATAAAAAGATGTGGTTGATCACCCACTACTCATTCAACAGAAATTGGATTGAATTTTGATCAACGAAAACTTTTGACAATATTCAAACAGTTTTAGGTCAAAATTTCTGTAGCTAAATTTCAGCATAGATGGCTTTGATTAGACCCATGTTTCTAGGCCGACACATGTTCTTGACTTGGACAAAAATGGTCTCGCTAGCGTAGCCACGAGATGGTTGTTGGCTGGAGTTGACTTGGACAAATTATCAACTGTCAAACAAAGGGCACATTTAAGTATAGGTTCCCTATTCAATTTCAATGTAACCAACGCAAGAGTTTGAAGAGAAGATTGACCCATGAGTTGGGAGACAATGAGATGGAGATCGGAGTAAAGAGAGTATTTTTGCTCATCATTTTAACCGAAGACACTATCTTCTCAATATTTGGCACATGTTCATGGACATAATTATGATTCTATAAATACAAAATAAAGAGTTAATTATGGTTATTCCTATGGATACATGTTAAACATTAATAAAGGTGGTAAGGGTATACATTTAGTTAAAATGGTGAACAAAAATATTTTCTTGGAGAAAACGAATAGAAGTCAAGAATGGAAAAATAATTGAAAGAAAGAAAAAGGAGGAGGGAGAGTTTTTCTATAAAAAAAAATGAAAAGTTGAATCAAGTTTTGTATTGTTAGTAGTTGTAATTTAAATGAACATACAAGAAACACATGTTAAGGGAACCAATTAGCTCTTGATTCTAGTGAGATTTACTTGCATGTAATTGGTATTTGAATTATTATTCTTCCTTTTTTTTCATTTAGTAATAAGGGCGATTGTGTTTACTAATATTCGGGTATTAGAATTATTTCAATTTCTCATTTTCTCTGTGTTTACTGACAAGAAAGGAATACAAAATTATGTAAATTAAAACCAAGAATTAGATTGATAGGGGGAGTAATTGATCTCATACTTGTTCATTCTCTCCCGTATTTCTTGCTTACTCAATTCATGACTTTCACTA